CTTAATTGTTTAGAATTTCTTAATTGTCAAAAAAAAAGAAACATTTAAAAAGAAAAACAATTTCATTATTCCATCCAACAGTATAAAATAAAATATAAACAATGTCTTATTTAGCAATATTTCTCCACAGAGAATACCAACATTTAACCACAATCTAAATTAACACATACAAATTAATACTAGGGGTAATATTTTTCCTAAAAAAAACAACAAGTAAACCCCAAAACCGCAATACAAATGGAAGAGGTGAAACCCGATTCAGTAGCAGTGACAGTTATAAATATAAAAATATCAATTTTAAAACCACATTCAAACATTCTAGTAAAGCTCCTTCATCGTCAGTGTAATTATTATTGTTGTTATTCAAAGCAAAAGTAAAAATGTCCTTGCAAAGACTAAAGATATTCTTTCGTTAGAAATTATACAAATAACTAGAATAAACAGTTACTGTTAGAAGATAGTAATACGCTTTACATAAAAGGACAAATATCCTAGACAGTACACTATATAATTTAATGACAAGACAATGAGTGGTTCTTCCTTTTTTAACACTTTTCACACAGCCTCTCGTATAGTCGTTTATTATTTTTCCCTCTTGGCTCATTTGAAACTCAATCCTTAATTTCTGTAGCATTCTACAAAAAGCGACAACAATAAAATGCCTTAAAAGCAACACTTAAGGTGGAAATGATTTAAAAAGTATTGAAATGCTGTGAGAAATAATGCCGAAGTGTTGGAAGGAAGCATAAGTCTAATGGCAATAAACTTTATTTAAAGTCAAGTTTTAAGTCAATTTTCATCTATGGGAAAAATGACTTAAATACCTACAACTAAAGTTAGTTAAGATAAAGTAAAAAAGGCAAAAGGCAAAGGAAGTAAGTAGTTATAGTATGAATGTGTATTGATGTAGAAAGTCAGGTAAATGCTGTCAATTTTACTGTATCGTAAACACTATTTTAATATGGGTACACCATAGTTATGGAGATTTTTTGATTTTAATTTAAATTAAATTAAATTTTATACTACTATTGATCGACATCACTGTTCAGTACGCTTCCTTTTATAAGTAGATTATTATACCCTACACCACTTTAGTGGGGAGGGTATATTGGGTTTGTGCTGATGTTTGTAACGCACAATAATATTGGTCCTATACCCACCTTAAAGTATTCCAATCGGTTTAGAATAATTTTCTCAGTCGATTTAGCTATGTCCGTCCGTCTGTCCGTCCGTCCATGTAAACCTTGTAATCAAACTACAGGTCGCAATTTTGAAGATAATTCAATGAAATTTGGCACACGATCTTCTATTGTTCCAGGGACGAAACCTATTGAAAATGGTTAAGATCGGTCAATTTTCTCACCTAGCACCCAACAACTGAACCTAAAGATTACGCTATATACTAACTTACTATATCGTAATCTATAATATATTCAATAGTTTAGTATAGTTGATTGTGTAGTAAATAGTTTAGTCTTAAACTTAATCTGAAGTTTAGTCTTTAATGTAGCCTAACCTTTAATGTAGTCAAATTATATGTTAGACTATATATTAAGCTATAAGATATACTGTGGACTACACAATTAAACTATTGACTACATTATAGATTAAACTATATAAGACGTTATTCTATAGACTACTCTGTAAAATAAACTGTGTGATAAATTAAACTATTGACTATATTACCGACTAGACTTTAGATTAAGTTTTAGACTAAACTATTTACTACATAATCGACTAGAATAAACTATTGAATATATTATAGATTACGTTATAGAATAAACAATTGGCTACATAAAATACTATAATAAAGACTATGTTTTAGTTTATGCTATAGATTATGCTCTTCAGCAAATTGGGAATAAAATGTGGACAGACTAAGCTATATATAGATTATGTTATTGACAAATCTTCTCACTACTTTATTGCTATTTACAAGCTAATATATAGTTTACGTTATAGACTATGCTATATAGTAAATAATTAACTACACAATAGACTAAACTATTGACTATACTATAGAATAAAGTATGGACTATTGTATAAACTAGGGACTACACTAAAGACCATTTAAACTAAACTTTAAAATACAATATAGTTAGACTTGGTTACAGCTATAGCTGTAGACTACACTTTAGTCTATGATATAGACTAGTTTGACTACTTTATTAACTACGTCATATACTATACTGTAAACTAAGCCACAGAGTAAACTGAATAAGAACCTACTCACAGTTCTAAGGACTACTGATATCTGCAGAGAACAAGAGTTGTAAAACGATCCATATAAAGGTAAAAATTTACAATATTTAATAACACCTCTTTGAAAATGGTGTAAAAATTTACACGCTTTAATTTTTTCATTTCGTATTCTCTTATAATCTTAAGAAATTGGTAGTTATCATAACTTATACAGGCAGCTTTAAAACATCATTAGCCCCGGGTGGATGTTTAAAGTAGAAGGAGCATGAAGAGACAATGCTGATGATGATAATAATGAAGATGACGATGTTGGTGTTGATGTTGAACTTTTGTCAATGTTAAGTGGTGTGTATGAAAATTTTGTGCCTGTGTCTGTCTCTCACTCTGTCTATCTCTTTGGGTATTTTGCAGCAAAACGTAGTATTAAACGTTGGCAATTTGCTGAAAACTGTCTTATGATTAATTTAAATGACTGAATTGTGACAATTAATTTTATACTCAATAACCGTGTTGTATATGATTCGCTGCTTATACTTGACGTATAATTTACACTCACTGTGTGTAAATGGGTTTAAGTGTTTGTGTTAAATATCCTTAGAGTCTGATTTTAGCAGCTTGTGAAAAAAAGAAAAGCATAACAAATTTTAAACGTTGCTGCTGCTACTGCCACTGCCACTGTTGATATTGACACATAAGCAGTAGCAGCAGTTTATTCAAAGTTGAATTATTTGTGTTTTATTCTGTTAGGTACTAGTAGTATTAAATTTCATTATAAAATAAGATCCTTCAACCATAACCGTTTTACTTCTTCATAGTTATTCGACAGTAATCTCTTAATATGGCAGAAAATTTTATGAATCAAGAAAATTATCTTCATGACATAAAATTAATTTATGTTCAGTGCTGTGAAACTGCTGATGTTCTTAATTAGAACATAATCAAGTTTATGGTTTTAACCCAAATTTGCGTTGCATAACACAAACACATAAACATTAATACTTACTGTCTTATGGGTTGTAGTAGTTATAAAGAAAATTAGACAAATATTTAAATAAAAATTTAATTTGTTGTGAATATTTCAAACATTATTTTAATGATGAAGATGACCTTAACTGTTAACAGCGGGAAAGTAAGAACTTTTTAAAGCGTAATTTTAAAATTAAAAATTTAAAATAATTTAATTTTATATTTATGTTGGTTTTAAATTTTTCTTTAGCCCTTCATGGATAGACAAAATTAAAAATGAAACCATTAAGTACTCTAATGTTAGTTAAGAACAAAATCTTTTTAGGCTTTTCCTTGGGGGTTCAGTTGTATCGGGGCTAGGTGAAATAATATACAGATCTTAACCATTTTCAATAGGGTTCGTCCCTGGGACAATAGGAGATCATTGCGACCTGTAGTTTCAGTACATGGTTTACACGGACAAACGGACGGATATAGCTAAATCGACTCAGAAAATGATTCTAAGCCGATTGGTATAATTTAAGGTGGGTATAGGACTTATATTATTGTGCGTTACAAACATCATCAAAAAAAAAAAAAATAGTTAGCATTTAAACATACACATCGTTCTTAAATTTTGATACATTTACTATACGATTTTTCTTTCTGTGTAAGAAAATATAATCAATTCCATTTTCATATCAACCACTACTAGTCATTTAGTCCACCGAAAAAATCAGCTTATCATTGACGTCAGCAAATATGAAATATCTAGTTTCTACTTATCATAAATATTATGCAGAGTCATTTGCGGTCGGACAGACGCTCTTGACCAATTCATACCATATTATGTATCTGAGTTACTCATTTAACGTGTGTAATATTCGTTAGAGCTTTTAATTTCTATGTCATTGGAGTACAATGTCCTTTTTTCGTGCATATGCAAACGACCGACTGACTCGTGGATGTGGATAAAATGTGAAACACACGTGTCATTAAAATGCTGTCAATGTATCGTATTGTATGATAAACACAAGCCAAACATCACACAAATACACAAATAGATACATTGAAGGACTATTTGCTAAAATGCCAAGGACTAAAAGCAATGTTACAAAATACAAATGAACATTTATATACTACTCACACATACAAAAATGTTGCAACTGTCAATGTGTATTGCTCATGATAGTATATGCACACAAAGTAACACCAATTGACCTCTTGGGTCCTTCGAAGCATAACACTACTACTAGTGACAGACGCCAAACGTTTAAGCCAACGAACAAACGGTTGAATATAAGAAATACAAGACAAATACATCAAAGCCACTAAAAATCACCTTAAAAATTGGGGATGACTACATATTTTCGTTTGTAGTAGAATTTAGATGGAATATCTTTTCGGAATGGAATTTCTTTTCCTGTTTTCATGTCTGTGTTTGTCCTGTACAATATGTGTGTTTGTTGTTTGACTATATCGTCTATGTCTGTATTTGGTATCGAAAAGTCATTGATTATCTTGATTGCATATCTCCCTAAGGAATGAACAACATCAGCATTCAGCAATATCTCCAAAAAAAATGTTTTTTTTTTTATTCTTTGAAAGATAGACTTGTTCTATTTTGTCATGGTAGTTTTTTGTTGTTGTTGTATTTTTTGCCTTCTTTTGTAGGTAATTGTGGACAAAAAGCAAACACGTTATAGCAATTGAACTTTTCGTCTGAGGACCAGATGATGTTGTTAAACTATGAAAATACATATGTATGTATATAAACGTGGGTGGATCGAAAAGTTTTGAGGACATAACTAAAAATTACTTTTAATGGAATTTGATGTTGTTAAAGTATTTACCGATAAGGAAGTTAAGAAGACATCTGATGTTGTTGATATCTGAAATTAAAGACAAAAGGACATCATTATTGAAAAATATAACAATTAATAAGATAAATTATAAACAAATATGTAAGAATATTGTAATTAATTGTTTTTGTAATATCCAAATTCAGGAATTTTGTTGGTTTTGGTATTTTGTTTTTATGGTATACTAGATTTGTTAAAGTTAATAGCTGTAATCAGGAATAGATAATATACCCTTATATACCCTTCACTATAGTGTGTTTAAAATAAGTTTAATTTTATAGCATTTCAATTTATTTTATATTTTCTAACGATTACTTTAGTAATAATAAATCTTAAAACAGCAACAACTAACGCCAAACGAAACAAAACACACAAAAAATCAACAAAATAAGCAAAGCAATAAGCCCAACATATAACACAACAGATCTGGGGTCTTCAGAAAACAGATTTAAACAGACGGACAGACAGACAGACAGACAAGCAGAAAAATAGACAGACAGATAGGCAGAAAGGTAGACAGACAGACAGACAGACAGACAGACAGACAGACAGACATACAGACATACAGACATACAGACAGACAGACAGACAGACAGACAGACGGACAGACAGACATACAGACATGCAGACATACAAGAAGATGGACAGACATGGCTTAATGGACTTCGGTGTGTATAAGGATCGACACCGGTATCTATAAAGATCGATTTATTAAAAAAACAAATATCAGTGATCACTAATAAAGCCCATTTTATATAAATTTTTTGCAACGAAATTAAAGAAAATTTTAAGTTTTCAATTATAAAATAATTTTCTAAGAAATTTAATAAAATTTCATTACAAAAAATACTTCTCAATCTATCCACTTGAATATTTTTGTTAAATATTCCTTTGCTGTTCATTGCACTTAAATTATAATACCTTTTTATTTAGCAAATGACGACGACAATGGCAATAGAAATACTCTAGCAGCAACAACTTCTCACATACCAATAGACATTCTCATTCAACAACATCCATCCACTACAAATAACTAGAATACTGGATGGTTATAATAATGTTGCTGCTGTTGTAATTGTGTTCAATCAGATATTTTTGTTTTGTCAAATTAGTTCAACATTATATATGTGTTAGTTAGTCGTTGCATTTCTCTCTAGTGATTTGTATTTGAGCAATGTTTCAAATTTCAAAATTTTTTCCCTCTGTCCAATATTCGATATGTGTGCATGTAGTATTTATTTATACAACAAAATGTATCTGTGAGTTTAATATCTCAAAATTACTTTGTATATTTAACTAGGAATATAGTATGTATTTTTTTGTTTTACTATTTGTATTGCACCTCCTTCTTTTCTGTTCTCTCGTTCTTCTTACTCGTACTTTATATAACGAAATTCATGTAAATTGTAGTGTTTGATCTAGAGGGTTTATCATGACTGCTTTTTATTTATACTTGTATGTATGAGTGTGTATTAGTTCAGTTTGAGTTGTATGTAGTTGAAATAATATGTATTTGATTATCCTTAATATAATCATTGGTATTTTATTTTTTGTAGCTTTATAAAAATGATGATGTTGATGCCATGATGCCAGTAGGAGAGGGTGACCATTCATTGAGATTTTTTTTTGAGGGGGGGGATAAGTGGGTGGTTTTGCCTTTCATTTTTTTCCATTGACTGTTGATGTTATTTGTGTGTATGGGGAGCATCAGTTCATATTTTGTTACGGTATTAAATTCATGATTTATAATTAATGTTTAGTCACAGATTTATATTCTTTTTATTTAGACACACACACACATGTGTTGTGTATCCTTTCGTACATACATACATATTTTTAATTCATTGACTTTTGTCTCAAATTTAGTTGGACATCTGTCAATTATTTCTTAACAATAAGAAATATATGATAAAAGAGATTTCGTATTTTTTCTATAATTAAAAGAAATAAATAATTGTCATGGAAGTTTTTAAGAACATAAAGAAAATTTGTTTGCAGCAGTGGGAGTTTTTAAGACACGCATGATGAAGTGTGTTTTGAGTACATTAATAATCCTTTCTAAAAGCCTTAAAATTTGTGCTCATAAGGGGGTTTTGGTTTATAAGTTAATAACATATACTTATGTCAATTTTTCTTAAATTAGGATTTTGGTTTGTTGTTTTAGATAATGATAGAATATGAGTTATTGAACAGACAAAATAAATATCTGGGAATTGATAACACTTTACGAAAGCAAATATAGATTTGAAAAATGGACTGTTAGTTGGCCTCAAAGATCATGATGATTCATGATTATGTAGGTTTCAGCACAACCTGAAGTCACTAGCTAATAAACCAGCAACAATTGCCGCCTTGAGGTCAACGTTGTTCGCTTTATTAATTATATATTATGACAGCAATGCTTGAAAAAATTGTTATTGCCATTTGAAAGATAACGTTTTAAAAATAGCTCAAATGTCAAATATGTTGATTTTCTGTCGAGTTATTACCCTATAAAAGTAAAACTTTTCTGAAACCAAAGAGTCAGACTAAGGAAAAAGGGTACGAAACGACTACACGGAGACTCTGAAATAACAGGAGGGATCTCCATGTATTATTGTATTAAAAAGAATATAACAATTCTCCATTAATTATAATTATTTCATCAATAAGTATTACTTTTTTATTTACGAAATATTATCTAATTCTCTATGGAAATACAAGATTTTCTACATATTATCATTTCATATTAACACTATACAATTAAATAAAAATAAGCTAAAAACTTCAGAGATATGATTTTATTTAAAATTTTTTTGGTTTTTGTCATATAAACTATTATTTTTCTGGTTTAAATCCGATTATAGAAACAATAATCAAAAGTCACATGTTTTATACACATGCTTCCTTTTTGCATACATATACATATGTATGAGATAAAATCATGTATTATAAATACATATGTATATGTGTATACATATGTATGTATGCTTAATACACATATGTGTATGTATTTCTATATAGATACATACGTATAATGTGTTATGACACGTGATAAGATTTTAGATTAAAAATTAATCTCAAAAAATTACTATCATTTCATTTGATAACATTAGAATATGTATATAGGTGTTTGTGCATCTGTGTAAGTGTGTAAATATTGAAATGTGCATAAATTTTATGAAAATTTATAATTTTATCATCCCCGGAAAAAACAAAAACACAAAAACCTAATATGTGTAGAAAAAATATAAACAATAGCTTCAAAAATAGTATCAACAACATAGAAAAACAATCTTTATGTACAAGTGCTTTGATACCCTATATCAGTATAGGTACTGAAGAATGATGTTTGTAACACCCACAAATTCATACAAAATATATTTTTTTAATTGCATTCTAACATGCCCATCCATCCCTCTATATCCTTAATAAAAGTATAGTTCATAATTTTTAAAAAAACTTCGGTTGGATTAAAAATAATCAAAAATGTTTGAAGTTGCATATCAATGCACCCAGCCGTCGCCCTAAAATAAAAGGTTAAATTAATGTATGACTACTGTAGGGTACTGTATTGTCGGTCTAATTTTCGCTGTATGTATATTTTTAAATTTGTGTAAATTTGTATGGTTGTCTAAAAATTGTTCAAATACACAGAAAAAATTAATTTTAAAAAATTTTCAATTAAACGATTAATCAAAAATTTTAAAAGGGTTCAATTCATTTTGTATTTGATTCATAAAAATGTATAATCAAATACGTATTTAACAACAACAAAAATAGAAAAAAATAAAAATTTTGTGTACGAAATCAATTATAAGTAGTAATTGAATATACAATTTTTGTTATAGGTTGAACTTCAAAAAATAAAATAATTGAAAACGAGGTTTTGGTAATTGAAATCGTTTTTCAGTTTTTTCTGTGTATGTAAATTTAATTTGAAAATATTTTTACTGTTATTATTTTTTTTTGTATTCTGTTTTATATTTCCTCTGTTTGTTAGTTTGTTTCATCCCTGTTTTAGGAAAAAAATCAAACAAATTTCATAAAAATATGTAAATTTTGATGTGAAAATTGCTAGAGAAGGAAATGTAACAAAATTTTGTATTTTTAGCTTTTGTCTCATTCATATTGTTGATTTTTTTTGTATTTCCCTGTGTTTGCATTTAAAATGTTATAAAAATGTATCTTTTGTATCTTTGAAATCAGTGTTAGAATTTTAAATTAAATACCAGTAATATGTTTTCACGTCTTGCATGTGAATCAGTTTCTTTACAATTTGAGTGGGTGGTGTTTGTTAGGAATTTTCCTTTTAAGCATAATTTTTGTCTTTTGGGGGTAGTTGTTGAAGTTGTCTTTATAGTTTTCGAAATTATCATTAACAGGGGTTGTTTAAGTTGTATTAATAATTATGGTATGTTGCTGTAAAATATTTGAATTCTGCATTCGTTTTTATCTAGAATTCATAATAAAATTTATTAGATGATAAAGACATTCTTACGGTTGCGTTTTTTACTGATTGGTAATGGTATATAATTTTAAGGGAGGGTAGGGGGGGGGGGAAGGGAAGGGAAGACGAAAAAAACAAAAGAAGGGAACGCGGAAGAAGAACGAACGAACGAACGAACGCGAACGAACGAACGAACGAACGAACGAACGAACGAACGAACGAACGAACGAACGAACGAACGAACGAAAACGAACGAACGAACGAACGAACGAACTAACGAACGAACGAACGAAAACGAACGAACGACCGAACGAACGAACGAAAACGAACGAACGAACGAAAACGAACGAACGAACGAAACGAACGAACGAACGAACGAACGAAGAAACGAACGAAACGAACGAACGAACGAACGAACGAACGAAACGAACGAACGAACGAACGAACGAACGAACGAACGAACGAACGAACGAACGAACAACGAAGAACGAACGAACGAACGAACGAACGAACGAACGAACGAACGAACGAAACGAACGAACGAACGAACAACGAACGAACGAACGAAAACGAACGAACGAACGAACGAACGAACGAACGAACGAACGAA